CTTTTTCTATACCGATTAGGTAAACTGATGTCTCTGATAGTTAGATCAGAATTACAGCAATATTGAGAGATTTTCATATTGCATTATCTTTTAAGAAAAAAAAGAAGTTAGTTCAGCTTTTACATTCTATTTTTTTCCCCTGTATATTAGCACGTAAAGAAGAAGTGACTGATGAAAAATCTCCCTGCAATATTTCAGGTAACAAGTTGATCCAAGAAAAAGAGTCATGTTAATAATTCTGCATTTCTGATTATCAGTTTTACCTCGATCAAATTAAAAACCAGTAACTAAACCCATTCTTCTTTCTCAGCCAAACACCTCAGCAAATATATCCATGGAGGACATGCATATGGAACATTAGATTGTACATTGGGGGGAAAAACCACTTATTTTACAATATATAATTAAATCAAGAACCAATGTCAAGAGAATTCCTTCTTTCTGACCCATAATCTTTACTCTGGTGAAAATACTCAAATATAAATTTTACTTGGAATATTGGGTGCAGCAGGGAAATAGTTCTGGAGAAAGTCTTTTTAATGAATAGAAGTTTTATTAGGCTGTTATGAAACTCAGGTCCAACTGAGTAGGTATATGCAGTTTTCCAGGTGGACTATGACCACGTGGTTCAACACTCACATATGTCTGAGTATTTAGTCACTTGTAGAAGTGATAAAAGTACAAGGCTTTGTTAGTAATAAGTCAACACTGTCTAACTCAATTTCACTCTTTCATGTCACTAAAACCCTTTGGAGAAAAATACCTTATTAAGATGTGGAGATACATATTGCCAATTAAAAAGGCAAAACACATTTATACAGTAGGTAAAATTCACTTCAGGCAGGTTTGGGAACCATCTGTCAAATAATTCCTAATCTAACAAAGTTTAAATATAAAATAGCAATAATAGATATGACCTAATGCTTGGAATTCCTACTAACTTTGAAAAGAAATAAGCGCAAACTTCAGAGCTTCTCCATAGTTGATGGTGTCCTACCACTCTCAAACAAAACACACACATGTTCACACAAGTCAGCCATTATTGTATCTTATGTGTGTGTGTTTGTGCAACACAAACATCTTTCTGTTTACAAATACAATTTAGTTAACAAATACTCAAGATTATCTATCCATTCACCCATCCATCCATCCATGCCAGCTATTATTGTATCTTGTGTATGTGTATATGTATTTGTGTATGTGTGCTGCACACATCTTTCTGTTTACAAATACAATTTAATTAACAAATACTCAAGATAATCATACACATTCTTACAATGATAGTTAGCTATTGACTTGTACAGTTATGCAATCAGCCAAAGATTCAGCGTTTTTATTCATTCCAATCCAAAGGTTGAAAATAAACTATAGAACTGCCCCCCCCCCATCTATAGAGGGGGTCAGGACATTGTCCATCTCTCCATCAGCACAATAACCCTCCCCAAACAGAATACAGTTGGGTCAAATTTGGTGTGGGAAAAGAAGCTAGCAAAGGAAAGACTGATTTTGAATATGGGCTGGATCAGGCTGGGGGCTGTGGAGAAAAGGAAATTTGAAATCCCCCCCACTGCATCTATGTGGAAGAGACCAGTGGGCAAAGCTCAGAATTCTGCCAATGTCTCCAGTCATACATTGCCTCGTCTCCTTGCCACCTTTCCTTGCCACGTCCACCCTTTGCGAAAATGGTAATACCGTCCTATTTTTAACATGTTGTTATCATTCTTTTATAATGTTTTATTATGTTATTTCATTGTTGGCCATTTGTACCCCATTCAGAGACTTCCATGACGGACCCTCCAAAAATGAATCCATAAGTAAAACGTTAATAAATATGAAATAAACATTATTTAATTATTTAATACATAGTTATTTAAAATCTAAAGAAATATTAAAACCACACCTTGGAGATTTGGCCATTGTGCCATTGAATTGTGGAGATGTGGTTTTGGGGTTCATGTGTACTGCGCATTGCAACCAATGAACTCTGCTGTGATTATCTGAACCGGGACAAGAATGGGAAGTTCTGAATCAGACTTTGAACAAATGCCAGCAAAAATATTTAGTAAGCCAGTATTGCAGAGAAAAGATAAGCAGATTTGTCATACAGAGAGTCAAGACACTACAGCAGAAGCAGCAAATAGTTCAAATTACACGAATAGGTTTCAAATTACTGGCTAAGAAAAAGGCATTCTAAAAGCAGAATCTCAAGTCCCAAATCATCAGGACATCAAATAACAAGTAGTCAAGGAATATAAGTTATTGTTTCCAGAACCGATGTTTCTTAGAGCTAAAATGCTTCAAATGTCCAAACACCTGTTGCTACTTATCAAGTCCTTCAAAAGAAGTAACTAATTGAAAATCAGACAGTACACTTGAGAAAGTGCCTTCTCTTGACAAAACCTTCAATCTTCAGATAAACACTACATTTTGGCTCCTGCATCTTACATGTCTACGTTCCCTAGGACTGAAGAGCCTTTGAACTCAACCTGACCAGGGGGTGGGGGTATCTATAAAATCAAGATGGTGTCCACAACTGCATGACTGAAGTCTTGTCCCTTTTTTATATGTCTCACATGTACAATGCATATAAAAAAGGACTTAGATCACAGCTGCCATCTTCACTTTTGTGATGCCCCCTGAGGACATTGTTCATCCTGACACATTCTTCCTTTCTCCTTCAGGGCTGATTTGAGCTAAAGTGACTCTCCCAATCATATCATTTAAACTTAGATGAGAAGTTAGGCTAACTGCCTCTTCTAACTTCTGAAACAAAGAAGACATGCTAGGAGAAGTCACCAAAAATGGGGTTCCTCTATTTCTTCTTCTTGCTCTACCCGAAAAAAAAGGGGGGGGCAATGAAGCAGAAATGGGGTGGGAAATGTCTTCTGATATAGTTCATGGTAGTGTTGATCCTGATTGCACCATTAGAGATGTTTTTTTACCCATTTTGGAGAGGAAGGGCCTTCTGAGCCAGAAAAATGCTATGGTGGTCTTTCCTGCAGCTTTGAAAAGGGTTGCTTCTCAGCTGACTGGGTTATTGGCAGTTATGTGTAGCCAGTGCATAAGGGTCAATTGGTTAACCAGTCAACTTTGTTATAGGAACAGTCAATATTGAAGTTTGTGAGGACCTTTTCGTTTCAAAGAACAGAACAGAGTGGCTATTTATGGATATATGTTTTTAATTTGTTCTTCCAAGGACTTTAGGGCAAAGCTACATAGTACACTGGAGATGAGTATAACATTAATTAGAAGCTGTTTATATTCATAAGGTGTTTTTGAGAAATAGACAATTTGCTGCAGGTAACTGTAGGTGGAAAGGATTAATGATTCTGTTTGCCTGCTACTTTTTCTAGGACCATTATCTTACACCCCTGCTTCTGGAAGCAAAATATGAGTCTCTAATCTTTGCATTGAAAAATGAAACCAAACCTCTCATTCTATTATTAATTTTTACAAAATTATTTCTCTTAAGACTGATATTTTGGAGCATAGTTCATCAGGATATCTTATATATATGTTTGTTCATCAGGCTACCATATACAGTGTGTGTGTGTGTGTGTGTGTGTGTGTATATATATATATTACACGCACCTTGTATAATATATGTTTGTTTACTGTGGATGTATTATAAGTTGCAGTGCAGCCATAATAAATACATAAATGAATTTCGGTTTTACAGCAAATTAAATATGGCTTCAAGATTGATGGTTTCAGCTCCTTTGGCTTGTTAATACAGCTTTATGGCTATCTGGAAGTCTTTCCCAGTTGGTTTGCCCTTCAGATGGTGGCTGGGAATTAAAGAAAGACCTCAAGAGAAAAAAGCTGATTGAGTGGAACAGCCCATATGCTATCATATCAGTGGTAAGCTTGTGAGATGGAAATAATAAGTAATGTACACTTATATCCTGAGAGCTAGTAATCATTAATTTGAGGCCTTCCAAATTACTCCTTCAAAGACGAGTGAAACCACACTGTCATTCAATGTATAGGAGTTGTATAACACATAAATAGCTTCCATGCATAGCTCAGAAACTTAATAATATGCAGGGATCAGCAGTCAAAAAGACCCCAGACATGATAGATGGTGTTGCAGAAGTGGGTTTGTCAGAAGGGATCTTCCTGTATAAAAAGTTAATTTTCCAACACTATATAATTAATGCATTTAAGTATTATTTTCTTTAATAGCAATACATTGGTTTCTAACTGATTCTGAAGATTTTCCACATTTTTAAATTCCACTCCAATCCCAGTGCAATATGATATATTACCATTTCACACATTCCTATTTTTTTTTTTAATGATTCTTGACTATGGTTGAGGAAGTATATCAGCAGTAACCCTAGGGACAAATGCCAGCTGCACATTTTTTAAATTATTTTTTTAATTTTTAAACCTACATACCACTGCAATTCTTTATCTATCTGTACCACATCTTTAAGGTGGTAGTACTCTGTCTTTCTGCTTTTCATTCAGTTTGGAACAAAATAAATAAAGTATGTTAAAGTGCTCTTTCCTTACTTTAAAAGTGATGAATCAGCTTCTGGAATACACTAATTTGTCAAAGATAATTAATAATGGGAAAGAAGATGCGTGTGAGTGCATTGTAAGGTGGGCATGTCCATCCATTAGAGCTTTGTCAGAAAACTGTGCTGAATAAGGAATCTAGTTCATTGTACAACATATTTCAACTTAAAACTAATTTCAAACAAGTACGGATCATGACGTGATTCCACCTAACACCTTAACTTTGCAAGTGGATGATGAATTAATCTCAGTTTTCATTCTTCTCAAGTGGAGTAATGATGGATTTTAATTACATGTGCCTATTGTGTTTAGTTTTTTGCAGGTGAAAGAAATTTCCAAAACTGCCCTCTGCTCCTGGAAAATTGAAGAAAATGCATACTGTGACATATTCTAATGAGATGTCTTAATGCAAATCTAGAAAATGGGAGAAACATCATGGAATTGCAAGGTAGGCCTTGCAGGAAGACGACACTTACCTTCATATGTTCCACTTTCTAAGAGAGCACCACTTTTCTCTAGTTCCATAAAATCTTCAACAGTGATGAAAATATAATCCACACCAGGGACTTCCCCCTCCTTATGAGGCCTTGTAGTGCCTATTTTGAAAGAAAGAAAAACCATATTGATCTATCATGTGCAGGAAAGAACAGCAGACTCCCAAAGTTTTATGCAAAGTTCAATTCATTGTATAATGTCATAAAAACTGGGTTCCTAACTGGCATATTTTATTGATGCAGCTTTCTAATCAATGAACTATACGTAAATATAGATCTGTACTTCATTCATTCATTCACTCACTCACTCACTCACTCACTCAGTTATTTGTTTATTTGTTTATTTGTTTATTTATTTATAAGATTTATATAGCTGTCTAACTTGTGTAATTGTGAGTCTGGGTGGTCAAATAAAAACTAACCAGAAAACAATGATTACAGAATTTAAAAAACTATGCAAAATCAAGAGAAACAAAATCCATAAGCTATATATCAGACTATTTATTTATTTATTCATTCAATTTATATAGCCGCCCATCTCAGACCAGTGACTCTATACTAGACAATATATGGCCAGAGTCAAACACATAGTCCATTTTGCAGAAGACAGGCTCATCTATCATCCTGGCCCACATGAGGGGAAAAACCATATTTTTGAAGCTTTCTGGAAGGCTAACAGGGTCAGGGCTTTATCAGTGACTGAATAAATCACTGATTTATAAACAAACGTGATTAGAAGTTAGTACTAAGAGTTAAATATTAATATTTGTATCAAACACACAGAATGTATGTTTCTGAGGTAGATCACAAACCTAACACAATCCTAGCAGTGTGGTTCAGACTTAATCTGGAAAATACCCAGAATGCAATCCTTCAGAGGTCTATCAGACCGTGCTAAGCACAAATGAATTCCGAGGCTCTGATTCCCATGGAATTCTTGCCCATTCACAAAATGGCAACCATGATAGGTGTAGCCTCTGTCACCTGCCGGAATTGAAAGTAAATCTTTTGTCCCTAAGATCAACCCTCATCGAATTCTCATTAGCTAGCTAATATAGGAACGTTACAAGAATTCCAGCAACTGAACTATTTTCATTTTAGAAAACACACACAAACATATGTAAATTAGGGTGGGCGGATTTCTGAGTCTTTTTCTCATAGCTTTATGAGAAAGTTTTAAGAGTAAGGAGTCAGATGTCTTCTCAGAGACTGGAGATCTGCAGCTGTGGGTTGTTTAGGTCAAAATAACAGTCAAAATATAGACAAAACTGTTTAGGTAACAGTCACTCAAATCCCTATAGTCTGACAATTAAACTTACAGCCCATAAGAAAATATAAATTTTCCAGGCAGCAAACTGTACCCACCACAATGCTTTCTACCATCTGTATGGGACCTTGGTGGAGTTTATAGGCACTGTTACGAGTAAGCTTGATGTTAGATCTAGTTCTTTCTTTGGCAGCATGTCAACTTCCTGTTTAATATTTTAAAGTTTAGGACTGGTAGTTCTGGGGTGCAAAAATCCAGACAATCACAAGATGGCTAGAAAACTAACTCTTCGCTACCATCTGGTGGTCAGCTGGATCTCTGCAACCCAGGTCTGGTAAGTTCTTTTTTAAATTAAATTAATCTTTTTTTTTTAAAGTTGGAGGCTGGAAGTCAGTCTGGAGGCACCAAGAAAAGTTTCTTTCAGGAACAACATTGCCTAATTCTGCCTGGAACTTTCCTATAGCCTCTTCAAATGGGATGCATAGAAAACAGCAAACCCTGGAGGTACCCTAGCCCAGAAAATCTAAAGTGGGACAAAATCATTTTCACAGGGAAGATGGAACTCATGCAGTACTAGCGAATGATGAAGAACAAAGTACTGAACAAAACACAGAACAAAATGCTGCCTCTGTTTGCAAATAGTCTGGGAGTTATACTTTGCGGGGCACTGCCTACCCCAGCTCCAAGCATTTGAATGGAGGTGGCCAGCAGAAGACTTCACCATCAGACTGATAGCTGTTAGGAAGCAGCAAGTTCATTATTCAGCCACATACGTCCCAACAGTCAACATTCCAGAAGGTGCAGCTGGCAGAGAATGTGGCAGTTGTATCACTAGTACGATGGCAAGCCAGACCTGTCAGTGCAGGATAATGCCAATTTTATTAATTACTGTTAGGCCTTCAGGTCCAATTCAAAGTGCTGATTATCAGTTATAAAGCAATTTATTTATTTCAATTTAAAACATTTATATGGCCTCTCATCTTATGTGAAATAAGCTTGGCAGCAATAAAAATATAAAAAGCCATAAAAACTATACAAAAACTCCCAGCACCTGAAAGGCAAACATTCCTCCAGACTTCAATATTCATCTTCATGGGGCCCCAATCCCAACGCTTGTGGGAAAAACCAGCATTTTAAGGTCTTCTGGAAGGCTAGGAGGACAAGGGCCTGCCAGATCTGAAGGGGAAGAGTGTTCCATACAGCAGGAGTCACCATGGAGAAGGTCCACCTCCTAAGTCCCACCAGATGACAACATTTAAGGGCAAATACCTGCCATATGGCACAGCAGCAGGATATGTCAGATACCTTGCTGGAATTGACTCTGCTTGTCTGGTCTAAATATCTATGGGTCCTGCTAAGAGTCCCCCAATCTCACAAGGCTCAAGGTGTCTGTCACTCTCCACTCTCTCCCAGCTCTTTGCAATATGTTTCCACAGAAGTACAAATATGTGTGGCTCTTTCTTTTCCTGCATTCTGCAAGGCACTTAAAGAACATTTTGTCCTACTTTGTCTGTGGTTCTCATTGATTCCAAGTGATCATTATAGTCAGGCTTATGTACTGGTGTGTCGGAAAGACCTTGAGAAACAGGGTGAATAGATGCTGCCTAGGGAATGGTCAGATAAGAGAGGGCTTAGCTCACAGCTGCATAATGGTGGAGAAAGAGGCTCAGAAGGAACCCTCCCTAACTTCTCAGGCTGTAAAGGAGGCGGTGGGAGATTTGTACTTTTAGACATGCAATATTCTGTTAATGTAGCTTTACAATAAAATAGAATTAGTTTATCTGGTTGTGTTTCCTGTCTGGTCTACCTGGTAAGGCTGACAGCTTATCCATTTTGTACTTATTGCTCTTGTCCCCCTTTTTTATTGTTCTTCCTTGGAAACTTCCCAGGGTCTTCATGGAGAGAATGGTTCACAAATACTGTGAAATTAATACACAAATGGGATAGGCCAGACATAACTTGAGCACTGCAAGAAGAACTAAGATAACATTATATCTGAAACAGACTCTTTTCCTCTCCTTCAACTAATTCACTTATATTAAAAGCACTTTTGGCTCCTTGCAATTGTCTACTAATTTCTTTAATGAAATGCCTACACCCAACTTCAAACTAATACATATGTATGTATCATGTGCAACACATCTACTTGTTCATTTACTTTAAAACATTCTGATTCTGTTCTTAGCCCCAAAAGACTTCCAGTGTATCTTATGTACCAGTGATGAGAAACTGGCTTTTCTCAGGAGTATAATGGAGTAGATGTGATGCACGAGGCAAAAAAGATGGTGAGGGAAAAGGAAAACAAAAACTTAGAGATTAGAAGTTACAGTTTGCATCATAACCAGATGGGATGTTCTCCCGGTCTTCTAATTCACTTACTCACAAAGGGAACAAATTGCTCATCCTATCATCTTTTTGGTTTATGTTGTTACTGTAAGGTGTGATCTAAATTCCTAAGGAAAGAATTACAGAGTAAAACATATGCTGTGTAAAGATTTTTAGAAAGAAAAACTAAACAGCGCTGAAATATACAACTGAGACATTTCCTTTATAATCTTCTTTTTTGCCCCACTATCAAAAGAAAACTGGCTATAAAGTTATGAACATTTGCCACTGTAAGTCAGATACAGATTTGTTCTTTCAATCCTACAGGGAGACAAGGGGAACAACTGAGAAGCATGTATGACAATGTCATTACACAAATGCCAGAATTTTTGTACTTGTATCCAATATTACAGAGACTTCTACATGCTGACCTCACTGTACTTTGTAAAAGATGCTGCTCCTTCCAATGTTTTATAGTAATTATCTTGGCTACTTCTCCACACTCGATACATTAACTGTTTGCATGTTAGTGCAATAATATATTTTAGTATACAGTGGTACCTCGGGATACGAACGCCTCTACTAACGAACTTTTCAGATTACGAC